GGAAGTGGAAGTGGAAGCAGTATGTTTCGTACTGGGAGTGGAAGCAGTTTGTTTGGTACTGGGAGTGGAAGTGGAATAAACCCAGCACATAGTCGGTCTCAGGAGAGATTGGCAAATCGAATTGTTGATGGAATGGAGAGTGGAAGTGGAAGTAGAAGTGGAAGTAACTTGTTTAATGCTGGAAGTGGCAGTGGAAGTGGTAGTAGAAATAGCCTGTTTGATATTGGGAAAACTGGTAAATTTTCATATTGCTCCAAGGGGGAACAAACTGATTCCAGTGCTTCAAATCACTTTGGAATCATCTGAAATCATCTGAAATCATTTGAAATCATTACAAATGATTAACATGTTAAGCACGTGCAAAATAACCTAAAACAATTATAAGATGTCGGAAACAATCAGAAACTCTTAGAAATCATTAAAAAATTAATGCAAGTCATTGCCAATTTTTAACCATCCCTTTTAGTCATAAGATTAAACTGAAAACTTGATTTTGAATGTTTTCAATATTTAAAGGCATTTATTGATTTTATTGATCTTCGGTAATTTTCAACAAATTTAATAGCTACTTCTAATATTTCAAGACTTCTCGAAAGATTTATTAATTTCTAAGGTCTTCCGATGATTTCTAATGGTTTTTCATCAAAACTGAAAGAATGGTTTCAATTGATCGAAATCACTTGAAATCACGAAATCAGTTTGTTCCCCCTTATATTGCTCTCATAAATAGGCATGTTTGGATGATCTCGAAATAGCTTTCATGGTTATTGAGGCATTAAATTACTTTAGTCAAATGTTGGTAGTCCGTTTAGTAAGATAGTTTCCATGAAACAAAGTAGCAAAGGTAAAAGAAATAAAATTCTGTAACGGTTGTATTTTGTCATTAGCATATACGATGAAATACGACGTCTGTATCATCTAGCTCTGACCACCCAACGGATTTGGTTCTTCCTCTACGTTGTTTTTAACTACACAAGCCTATTTACTAGCTTTGAAAGTTTATCTGAAACGCTGTCACCAAGTGATATCGATTTGTTCTAAGTGAAATGACTAAATCTCCTAACTTTTTGCTTTGATTTTTAAGGTTCATCTGATCTCTTCCGTGAAATGAATCAGCGAACTTTTTCCAACTCCATGGCAGGTAAGCTTGATTCAAACTTCGAATTTTCGAAAATCAAAACTGTTGAATATGTCAGTGTGGAATTTTGATCGATCACAAAGACAATTTTGTAGCCAAGCAAGTGGTGATTGCACATCAGCTCATTCGGGAAGAGTTGGTACACGAAGCTTCCCAAGTATAACTGAACGTTTGAAGAACTGGGGACCACTTCCAGCAGGCACCTACGATGTTACAAGTTGTGACACGTCAAGTGGGATGAAGCGATGTAACCTAAGCCCAAGGGCTGGAACCGAAATGTATGGAAGAGAAAATTTCCAAGTTCATGAACCTTCTCCTAAATTATTTAAACGAATATTAACTATGGATAGCAACGGTTGTATAGTTACAGAAGCAGTTAAATTTGTGAAACCTGGAGATACAGTTAATGTTCACGATTAAATTGAAACGCACAACCATTTTTGATCAAGAAATAAAAGAAGTCTACTCAGAAAATGAATCGAAACATAGACCGGTCTATGTCTTGAAAAAAAACACAAAATAATAGTTGCAAAGGGGACGTGGGTGTTATGTTAAGAAATTAGTACGGCTATGGTTTCGACCTTTCTCAAGAGTCAATTATCAGTTAGTTTTTGTAGCACTGCATTATTTTATAGATTAAATTGAAAAGCAACAAGAACTTTCCACATTTAATTTATAAACACGTAACTAGGGGTGGCACTTTGTCGTTTCTTTACAAATAACGCAGTAGCGCATGCTTTACTCTTTATCAGTAACGCAGTATCTAGGCAGACAAAAAAAAAATAAAAAAACGCGTTTAAACGCGCAGAGATTTTCGGCCGTGTCTGGCTGCCAATCGAGGTTCCCGATTGTGTGTCACTAACGACCAGTATAAGTGGACATGAAAACGGTTTCTTTTTCATGCTCTATGAAATTTGCATATTTTCATTGCATTAATATAATATCGTTTTCACGTTTACTATTCCCTACTGTGTGTTGACTGTCAGTCGGGAACCTCGATTGACAACAGATCACGGTAAGTAAAAATGGACGTTAAAACGAACGTTTTCTTCACTATCTCAGAAAAAGTGAACGTTTAAATGGCATATTTCTTGAAATCATTTCACATTAACAATTTTCTATCATTTCTAACTCACAATCGGGAATCGCGATTGGCAACCGATCACGTCCAGACAAACTGGACATCAATATGACCATTTTTCCACTACGCTGTAAATCTCTCACATTCACATGGTTCATTTCCTAAAACAGTGTAGGGCTGAGTTTTCATTCCTGTTTTACACCCATAGTCTGGAACCGCGATGGAGAATAGATCATGATCAGAAAAATCGGACATTAACTTTATACCTTTTAAACTAATCTAAGACTCTTTAACATTTAAACTCTCTTCTTTTTAGAACCAGTTCACATTTACCATTCCTTATTGACTTCAGCTCATAGTTGGGATTCGTGATTATCAGTCGCAATTAGCTACCTTTCTTTCTACATGGTTAAGATGTAAACAAGAGTACTTTTTAAGACGTTTTCGGGTGGAAGAGATCTATGCATACGACCATGTATGAATTCAACTTTCTCGAGCTCATAAAACATAGGATACTGCATATCACAAAATGAAGCGAAACTAAGTGTTAAAATGCTTAAGACCAACATTTGAAATTGAAAAATAGACGTTTCAAATATTTTGCAGAATACAACTCAATTCGAAAACAAGAAGCGAGATTCTGTATGACATATGAAATTCTACTCAAAAACGAAAGCTCAGAATAGTTGCATCAAGTCTACATCTTAGATCCGTCATAACTCATGTTGTTAAGTCATATTCGACGGTAGGACACAGGCACGAACTATGGAACGATAGCATTTTACATGAATCGAACAAGAGCATAAAAGAAAAAATTTCCTGGAGTCTAATTCTGCTTACGATTCCATCTAAGCTTTAAACATCTTATGTGTAACTTATATGACCAAAGAACAGTACGAACATTCATCGGCTTCTTCATGCGGATGGTATCAGTATAACTCACTGAAAAAGGACTGCAGATTCTCACATGAAAACTGATTATCATCTGTAGCAGAAGACATCAAACGAATCATTAAATGAATTTTGTCTATTATAACCTCAATATTCCAACAGGGTACAATTGATTGCAGAAAACAAGTATCGGATGAGGTAAAAAATAACTTTAATGGATAGAGCTTAGATTTTTCAGATCAATGTGTGTAGTGTTATCTACGGGGCCTGATAGCAGAAAAAAAAAGAAAATAGCGAATTGAAAAACCAGAAAACAACTCACCATTACTTATTTTCTAAGATCCACCAGAATCGTACATATAAATTTGAATTTCTATTCACATTTTTGAGTTCAACATAGCATTAAAATTAATATCAATGCAACCTAGAACGACACATGACAATGAATAACCAGTACTCATTTGTATGCAGTTGAACTCACTATTATGTATCCGAAAACGGGAACCAAAAACAACCAATATAAAATCTCTTTGCAACAGTGTGGGAGTTAAAACTGTTTTTGGAAAAAGTTAAAATGGTTATAACTCGAGTTATAACTTTCAATCATGGTTATAACTTTCAACCATAGTTATAACCTTCAACGCGAGTTATAACCTTCAATCCGAGTTATAACCATCAACCGTAGTTATAACTATTAACCATGGTTATAAGTAGCAAACTTTTTTCGAATATTAATTTTCTAAATCTTTTAGTCACGTGAAAGATCGTTCAGTGGCGTCCTTCTGTATTTTTTCTTTCTTCTTGATGTTAAATAATTTTGTTTGAAATGATTTTTTTGTCAAAAGCGACCAGGAAAAAATCGAATAATTCTCAAAATACTTGGAGCTCTAGATACTGATTATACAGATCAATCGTTCTTACAACAACGAAGAAGAAACATGAACTATCTAGCTTTTCAACACTGCAGATTAATCATCCATACTATTTCAGTTCAAGATCAATTCAAGATAGCCATAAATTCATGTATATCATACATCAACTTTTAGAACAACATTATTATTACCCTTGTTTATTTTTCTTTTTTTTCTTTTCATTCTGAATGCATCTTCTTCAATGAGTTTTTTCGTCCGATGTACATGCAAAGCTGACCGTCTGCTTTCGATTGTTGTTTAGCTAACACACAATCTTTACATTTCACAGATAGTATAATAATACGTATGAACAAGAATGTCGTTGTTTCGAAGAAATACCTTGATATCTTCAGTTATTTAGTCCATCCTATCGGTCTAGTTTATTTAAAACATTACTAGAAAGAAGAAAAGAAACAAAGAAAAGAGAGAGAAAGTGAATTAAGTGATCTAGAAAATACGATCGCTGTTCTATCGCCGCGGACGACCGAACATAGAAAAGTATAAGAAGCAATAGAAATTTGTTTTATTTCATTTGTTGTTCACACCATCATCTGGATAGTATATCGTACGAACTGCTCGTGTTGTTATTTAATTTTACTGGATATAATGTCTGATTATACGACAAATTGTTTATCATCTGTTGATCCACAAACATCTTCAAATGAAGTTACTATTGCTTCCACATCTTCAATTACATTTGTATCACTAAAATTAGGTGGTCACCAACGTGATTTTATCTGGTCGTTTTTCAATGACATGGGTCCTGCTAAAACACCAGGTCATCATAAAGCTCAATGCAAATATTATTTATCATTCTTCAATTTTGCAAAACTTCATATTATGTATTCACATATTGCACACCAATGTGATGAAATTGTTATTTATAATCCAAATGCACGAAAAGAAGTTATCACCAGAATGCGTGATTTCGAACAACAATCACCACCAGGTCGAGTTAGAAGACAATCCAGCAAGGTATGATATTGTTATTATTATTTTGTTTTATTTCAAGAATTTCTTTAGACTGGATCAGCCAATCAATTGATGTCCAAACAATATACAACGGATCGATTCACATCCAGAATAATATCTTATAGTGAACAACAAAATATTGATCGATATTTACTACGTGCTGTTATTATGAATGGTATATTATTTCGAACAATCAATAATGATTTTTTTATTGAATTTATCAAACAACTGAATCCATCTTATGATCTACCTAATAGAAAAAAATTAGCACATGAATTGCTTACACAAGAAGTGGTATATGTGGAGAATAAAAATGAATCATTATTAGCTGAAGCTGCTCATCTTACATTAAATATTGATGGTTGGAGCGATCGATGTCATCGATCGTTGTATGAATATAATGTCATTACGGATAGTCGAAAGGCTATCATCCTCTCTCTTATCGATGTTAGTTCTTTTAATCATATTGCAGACTTTTTAATCAACCGACTAGAGTCTATTCTAGCTGGAATTTCAACAAATATTAACATCAAATCAAAAATACGTGCTATTGTTACAGATAATCCCAATACGATGCAAAAAATGCGTGAAATGTTTATCTCCAAACCAGGAAATCAACATATTCTTGAATTACGATGCTTTGCACATGCCATCAACTTAATTGCTGGTAAGATCACCTTTTTTCTCCATAAAGATTTTTCAATTGGACATAGAATGCTTGAATTGTTTTTTTTTAATGTTTAGGTGATATAGTCAAGCATGTTTATGCTCAAAATATATTACATAAAGTAACAATAATCACGTCTTTTTGTAATCGTTCACATGCTTTCAAAGCAAAACTCAAAGAAGAAGCTGAATGATTAAAAATAAAAAAAACAAACTCTCCATACAATTGTTACAACGCGGTGGTCAAGGGTGTGGGTGTGGGTGTGGGGACTGTCTTCGGTTAAACC